ACCTAGGGGATGCCCAGGACCGGTTGAGATATTTGTCACTGATATTGGCGGTGAGCTGGTATCGAACTCGGGTCGACGGCTTTAGCAGGGCAGTGCCACCCACGCACACGCAAACATTGCCAGGAAAAAAACATATTACTGCCGTTTAAGCCACCAATTAAAGACGTGAAATACGCTAATAGTTTTGTTGTAGGAGGCCTGTTTTGAATGGCAAATACAACGTTAATCCAATGTGTTGACATTTGTTTTCAGGGACTGGCCCAGACTCGACTACAAACGGCACACAGTGCTGTTTGAATTTGATTAGAAAATAAAAAGGAAGGCATATTATTAGTGTGCCTATGTTTGTCTCTCTCTATGTATCTCTGTGATATCTGTCTGCTTATATGTATGTGTCTGTCTATATGTCTCTGGTTCTGTGTTTTATCTCTCTCTCAAATTTAGCATTCTCAGGAAGAACGTAATCAACCAGGTAGGGTGTTGACTGTTATGTTATCCGACTCTCTGTTGTATTACATTACATTTCTAAGTATACTAAATTTGTGTTTCTATTTCATTTATACCTGATGATGATGATGATGATTACTTGTGTTGCAATCGAAACGTCGTATGCTAGTATTTAATTTATTATTTTATATTTATACGTGACTTTACCGAAAGAACCAAAGAGTAAGGCATATGAAGTGCCACAATTCCATGCTTTGGGCACTGCTCGGCACGTCGTCGTAGACATCGCGCCGTGGCACGCGGTTCGCTGCGCTGCCAAAACTGGCACAGGTGTGACGACACAGGCGCGTGTGCGTGGTGCCAAAGGTTACACGCGGGTAAATTTCGATTTAAAGCTTTCGTGACTGCAGGGATTCATCTTCTTGGTTCTTTCGGTAAAGTCACGTAGAAGGGAAATAATAAAATAATAAAAAATAAAACATCATAAAATAATTATCACGACGTTTCGGCCACAACGCGTCTGAATGACGCTGTCTTTCCGACAGACCTGTTTTTCACCTGAGAACGGCTGCTTGCGTTGTGGCCGAAACGTCGTGAGAATTGTATTTTATTATGTTTTATTTTTATTATTTCCCTTCTCCGTGACTTTACCGAAAGAACCAAGAAGATTACACGGGGGTGTTCAGTTACGGTAATGTTAATGTACCCAAACAAAGGTCTTGCCGGCAGTTTTCGTTTTCATCGAGCAAGAAATCTTTGCATGAGATCCATGATTTCGTTATGCGATTCAAACTGGTACGAAGGGATAGCGGGGCTTCGGACAGGACAGCGGTCAAGAGTGGTGATGGAGTGGCAGCCGAGGAATGGAACGCGTCCGAGAGGTCTTCCACCAAGGAGATGGAGCACTTGCCCCTACCGTCTGTTAAGGCTACACGGGGGATCTTTGTATTTATATGACGGACAAAGGCCTGATTTTCAGCACGGTTCTCTCGTGGCAAGCGACAATAAACACATTCAATCGCTTCCCGTGACTGACGAGAAACGCATCGGGCATTTCAGCGGCAGCGAATGCCCAGTGGAAACAAAATAAGCGTGCCACCCACGCACGCTTGGTTATCGACATATCACTTGGGTTCCAGTTAAGAGTTGGAAGTGCTCCTCACTGAGCACTGGCCACTGACGATGTCACTCAAAGCGACCTATCTTAAGTGTCCACCCATTGTGTAGCTCACCGTAAAATCGCTGGCTTATGACAGACCCTCCTTATGGGCAGGTGTGGTTATGGGCACTTCAGACGGCGCCATGGTGGCGTGATGTTGGGGCTTGGGTGGTTTACAGGAGATCGTGGGTTCGATCCCGACCCTGACGCCTGCTGCACGTTTGGAGTTTGCGTGTCTCTCTCACCGTGGTCGCATGGATTTTTCTCCGGGTCCTCCGGTTTTTTTTTCCTCCACATTTAGAAACAACAACGCGCGTTTAGGGTATTTGGCTGCTGTACATTTGCACGCGATAAGCCGCTTCGTTGAGCTATCATTTGTGGCCAGGTCGCTTCTGAGAAAGAACTACACAGCTAGTAAACCTAGAATAATAAAAATTGTGTAAGTTAGTTAGTTAGAAATAAAATAAAATCAAACAAATCACAGTGATTTGTTTTATTTTATGTTATTTCTACCTCCGTGACTTTACCGAAAGAACCAAAGAGTATGGATGCCTGCAGTCACGAAAGCTTCAAATCAAGATTAGTTATTGAGATCTAACACTGCCTGTAAGCGATGTGAAACACCAACACAACGTGAGAACGATACGTGCAGACTTGAAACAAATGCACGCAGGAGTGCACTGCTCACAGATAGCAGGAAGGCACAGCTGCCGTCATGCCTCGCACAATTAAGTGATCGCCACTGTGGCACGGACAATGCTCTCAGCCTTGTCTAGACCACCATCTCAAGAGCTGAACTTATGCCAGTGTCGTCATTATTATGATCTATTATTATTGATGTCACCATCTCTAGGGCGATGGCACACGGCCCAGTGGTCGTGCGTTAGCAGCTTCTTGCAAAAGTTCACGGTTTGAAATGCAGCGGCCGCCCCGGTTAATCGCCACCAGAGCACTGCGTGCCGTCTGTGTTTGTGTAAAAAAACACAAAAACCCGATCTCATTCACAAGAGCAGGCCGGTGTGTTGCTGGCCTCAGGGTCCACATTTGGAAAAATTCGAAAATTTACACCGCAAAATTGCTCAATTAGCATCACATGCAGCAGCAATCACCGTACCACCTATTGGCAGACTAATGACCCGGATCACTCTCGCAAATGAGACTATCCTGGTTTCTTGAGCTCTTACTCTGGTTACACAAATGTTTAAAAATACTTGAACTGAACGAGTTATACAAAAATACAAATAAATGAGGCCACCCCAAACAGGATGCGGTGAAACAACCGCGCACCGGTTTTGCCCTCGTTGAGGCTCATCGGTGTGGCACAGACATCAGTCCCCGCTGTTGCCCCATGCACGCCACTAGCGACGACACACTTGGTGCGTTGCCAACTCTAAGGGCACTTTGCAAAGTTCCACTGAATCATCCAGTGAGGGCGGCTCTTCAGTGCTGAGCAAACGATCAGGAGGGACCGTCCTTGCAACGCGAGCAAGCGTCATGCGTCGTGTGCTGAAGCTGCGTGTGAGTTCTAAAGGGCTCTGTTGTACAAATGCTTTGTTGGAGTGCTCGCTGGGGGTTCCCAGAGGGCTGCTGCTGCTGCTGCGTGTGTGTGTGTAGGATTGATAGCTCGCTCTTCCAAATGCGTTTCTTTTTAAAATATTGACATTCTGACAATTTTGAGCATCCATCATCATTATCACCCTCATCGGCATCACAACACTCCATCATCATCATCACCACCACCAACACGATCTTTGGGATAAACAACTCACTCACAGCCAACGTTAGCTAACGTCACGCTGTCCACCAAAAAAGGCAGTGCAGTAACACTGCGCTCCTGTGCGACCACGTGTACTGCTGCGACACGCACTGACCGGCGTGGTGAAGTATGGTCAAACAACTCCGTCAGAGCCGTGGATTGGCAAATGGGACTGTGCAGCGCATTGGTACACCCCATTCGGTTGGCAGTGGTGCAACAAGCCCACAATAACAACAACTTCAACACGCCCGTCAACAACACTGTTGCTAATTGGGTTTTCACCCTTCTATCTGGCAACAAAACTGACACCTTTTTTACAAGGAGTCATGTTTGCATAGACCACAATACCTGCAGTCATAATGTAAACAAAAAACATAACTCTGATAATTTATGCACTGTCCTTGAAGTTGATTGGTCCACACCCGAGACAGCTTTCCTGAGAGCCTAGTCTCACATGGGTTGGACCAGATGTCTATGCAAACATGACTCCTCGTAAAAAAGGTGTCAGTTTTGTTTCCATATAAAAGGGTAAAAAACCAATTATCATATTTTTTACTGCCAAATGAGGTACCAATGGTGTAAAACACTGTTGCTGTAACAAGGAAATAGGTACGTGAGTCGACGTTTCGGGTCCATGGCACTTATCCATGGCACATATGCACACATAGACCAAAGGCGCGGCTGGAGCACGCGGACAGCCGCCCAAACACTGACGGGGAGAGCGCACAGCACGTGATGAGAATCACCGAGCAGCCGGAACGCGACCTTTGTGCGCGTCTCTCGCAGGGTTATATTGGGCTGGCGGGGGGTGCGGAGAGCTGGGGGAATGATGGAAGAGGGGAGGGAGGTTATAGAACGAGGTTGGTGGTGGTGGTGGAGGAGGGCTGTCCATAAGGCCTGACCCACCCAGCGTTATGATAACTCCGACACAAACCGAGGCTGTCTGCTTGCTGCTGCTGCTGCTGCGTTGCAAGTGCGCCGCGCACGTGACCGAGTGACCTTGACGCTCGAACAATAACAGCAGCGGTGGGCAGTAATGTCATATGTTTACATTGCCTGTGTGTGTGTGGGTGTGGAGCACGTGTGTGTGTGTGGAGCACGTGTGTGTGTGTGTGGAGCACGTGTGTGTGTGTCTGCAGTAATGTCATAGATTGACATTGCCTGTGTGTGTGTGTGTGGAGCACGTGTGTGTGTGTGTCTGCAGTAATGTCATAGATTTACATTGCCTGTGTGTGTGTGGGTGTGGAGCACGTGTGTGTGTGTGTCTGCAGTAATGTCATAGATTGACATTGCCTGTGTGTGTGTGGAGCACGTGTGTGTGTGTGTCTGCAGTAATGTCATAGATTTACATTGCCTGTGTGTGGGTTTGGAGCACGTGTGTGTGTGTGTGTCTGCGCGTGTCTTTGTCCTCGAGTACATGGTGCGGCGTGGGATAAATAAACAAAACATCGGCCACGAGGGAGACAAAGGCGGCCGGGGGTGGCCGTTGTTGTTTCGTGCGCGCCGTGCCTGCCCTGGTAGGTGCTCGCTAACAGCACTTGCCCCTAAAAGTCCATGCAGGCTATACAGGGTAGTGGGACCTTTGTCCGTGTGTGCGTGTGTGTGCGCGCGCGTGCTGCGTGTCCGGGATGTGCGCACCTCGTGCGCTGCGCGCGCTCCATCGCCCGTCGCAGCGAGACTCGCTTTGACGACGACGGACGGACGCCGGCGAAGACGACGCGATGGGAAACACCGGCGAATCAACACAGCGTGGACGCCGCCTCCTCCTCCTCTCACGCTGTGTCCATGCCGTCGGGGAAGCGGCTAGGCGGGCGACAGGAAAATCTCTCCGTCGCCCCCCCCTCTCTCTCCTCCTCCTCCTCCTCTTCTCCCTCCGCGGACGATGCAACGCAGCGCACTCGCTGGCTCCTTCACGGCAGAGCGATGCGCGCGGAGATCATCATCATCAGCATCAGCACCGCCACCATCATCAGCACCGCCAACGCCCCACCACCCCCCCGGCTCGATAGATGATGTCTCTGCCCCCCCCCCCACCCCCCACGACACACGAATGATGCGATAACTCCCTGGGGCCCGGCGGATGGCAAAAGCGTTCCGGGCTCACGCGTGGCTTCAGTTTCATCCGTCGTGGTTATTTTTGGGTTTCTTGGTTCCCCGGTTACCAGGGGCTGCTCGCTGGTGGTTCTCCCGTTACCGGGGCGACTGCCTCCCTCCGCTGTGCTCCGTACACCCCCCCCACCACCACCCCCACACTCCTCCTCCCTCCCCCCCAAGACTTGCAAAGCGCCTCCTACTCTCGTAGCCGCTTCTGTTGCTGCTGCTGCCGCTTCTTGCCACTGAGAGCCGTGGCTTATTCATAGCCACGCCGCTTGTGTGTTTTGTTGTTGTTGTTTGCATGGATGTGCTTCCAACGTGGCCGCCGTGGTTGGTACGGTTGGCAGACAACCGGTTTCGTTCGATCTCCAGGCGCGGCAGTTCAAGCAGTGGGCAAATGGTGTATCTTACAACCTCCACTCGGCAAGTTAAACAACACGGGCTACGTCGACAGTTTGGTGATGGTCAGGTCGACTTATGGATAGCGTGGAAGAGTAGGCCAAATGCTCTTAGGGGCCGTCCATAAATGACGTCACGCACCTGGGGGGGGGGTCAGACATTTGTGACGATGTGTGACGAGTGGGGGGGGGGGGGGTTGAGACATGTGACGTCACATCAAAATGCTCAACTTTAAATAAATACAGACAACACGTTGTACTTAATCAAATAGACTTTAATAAATGTTTTCCCCTACAACATCAGAGTGCAGGGCCACATTAAATACGCACTTCAATGACAATAGTTTAAAGCGATTTGAAGCATGTTTATTTGGGGGGGAGGGGCACAGCTTTGTGACGTCATATTTGAGGGGGAGGGTCTGACTTTTTGTGACGCCGTGTGACGAGGGGGGGTGGGGGTCAAAAATCGTCCAAAATCGCTTGACGTCATTTATGGACGGCCCCTTAGAGTCCAGATACAGATGTATCTCTCTCTGTAGTTAGAGCCGCTTCCGCCAGGATTGGCGTGTAGCAAGTAAATTGCATGGCTACGTACGGTGCGAAAGAAGTTAAACGTACAGGTGCGTACATTGAGGCCAGTTGGTACAGCTTGAGCGATATTACCGGTGTCGTCTACATAGTTCGGCTTGCCAGAGCACGCTAGTTCCTCTCGTCACGAACGTCAGTCCTGGTCTCGGACGAGAACCCGTTTGGCATCATTCGCAAAGAGCACGCAATCCATACGTTACAAGTTTAAGTTAGCGACACATCCGATCTGCACGGTTGGTTGCGTGCGTATACAGCTTCCCGCAGGCGCACTTCGATGCAGTTGTGTATATAGCAAGGCCGTAATTATCCCCCCCCCCCCCAATATTCAAATATGCTCAAAATGTCCCCCCCCCCCCCAATATATTGCTATAAAATATATTTCTGTTTATATGATTGTGGTTATGGTTGTACTTTATGAATCCCTGATCTCTGCCATTACATACCATGAAACAAGAAAAGGTTAAAAAAACAGAGCAATGTAATACAATACACTATTAGACATTATTGTAAAAAATAAATAAAAAGTCCATGCAATGTGTTAGTGAATTTTTGTAATATTTTAGGCAGGAAATGGCAGGAAACGAGTTTTCAAATTTAGATTTTTGTTCTGGAGGATAAGCCCCAGATCCCCTGGAAGATTTGGTCCCCCCCCCCCCCCCCCCCCAATGTTGACTCCATGGCTACAGCCTTGGTATATAGCGAAGATAGCCACGCGACCTATATAGTCCCGTTGTTTCCCAAGGGTGGATGAATAAGGCCGCATGTCACGTGGTGTCAGGGAACAGGCTACGTGATGTCATCTTCCGGAGCCGTCAGTCTGACACGTGGTTGTGCGCCACGTGTTGCGAAGAGATCCCAGTGGAGAGGCGATGTCGTCAGGCCGCATCAATAACTTCGGAGGGGAGTCAAATGCAAATCAAACCTCTTCTTGGTTCTTTCGGTAAAGTCACGTAGAAGGGAGATAATAAAATAATAAAAATTAAACATAATAAAATAATACAATTCTCACGACGTTTCGGCCACAACGCAAGCAGCCGTCCTCAGGTGAAGAACAGGTCTGTCGGAAAGACAGCGTCTTCTTCACCTGAGGACGGCTGCTTGCGTTGTGGCCGAAACGTCGTGAGAATTGTATTATTTTATTATGTTTTATTTTTATTATTTTATTATCTCCCTTCTACGTGACTTTACCGAAAGAACCAAGAAGATGAATCCCTGCAGTCACGAAAGCTTTAAATCGAAATCAAATCAAACCTGTAATATTTACTGAATACAGCAGAAGTCTCTCTCTCTCTCTCTCGATCACCACGGAAAATACAAAATAAAATAACTTTTAAAACACTAAGTCGTCGTCCCACACACCCCCACCCCCCAGTAGAATTTGTTCAAGCAGCCAAAAACTCGAGGCGTTTTTTCTGAGTCTCATCTGCAGTGCGGTTTGTGACACCGTTAAACAAATGGCCTATTGAGCTCGCCTGACCTTGCTCCAACCTCCCCACCCCCCCCCCCCCCCCCCCACAATGCCTCATTGCATCGCAGCACAATCGATAACGAATCTCGCGGATTCTCGCTGGGATCGATGCGACGACGACGACGACGCTGCTGCTTGATATTACAGAAGCTGTCAGCTGTTCGATGGCTCTACTTGGGGGGGTGTTGGGGGACGTCTCGCGCCGAGAACGGGAGATTCCAAGCTGGTTATAAATCTCTAGTGTGGCCGAGCCAGACTCCGTCCGCGATTCGCTGCGCCAAATGATTGTTTTTTTGTTCTACCGCTTTCCAGCTCACATTGGAGGCGTGGATCAGTCAGCTCTGTGTGCAACAGGGCCAACGTATACACACGTCACGTGTAACGCCAGCTGTTGGTGAAACAGTGCTCCGGTAAACCTGACATCAAAGTTGAGGTGCTGTAAGTTTTGGGCACTGTGTGTGTGTTGTTTTTCTCTCGTTCTCAAATCATTTGTGACTTGTCACGGAATTGGAGTGTTTGTTCGAAATTAATTATTGCATTTATTCCTAAAGGGTGTTGTTGCCGTTGATTGAAACAATGCTCCGGTCAACCTGAAATGTAAATTGAGGTACTGTAAGTTTTGGGCACTGTGTGTGTATGTGTGGTTTTTTTCTCGTTCTCAAATAATTTTGACCGCACTTGTCACTGAATTGGAGTGTTCGTACCATATTCATTATTACATTTATTCCTAAAGGGTGTTGTTGCCAGGGCCGTTCATATGGAGACGGGGGGGCGGGGAGGTGTGCGGGGCCTGGGGCAAACTCCCCCCAAGTATTCTGACATCGTGACTTCGAATCGCGGCCCCCCCCCCCCAAAGCGCGGGGCCCGGGGCAGTCGGCTCTACCCTAGGCACGGTCTCTGGGTGTTGTGCACCAGGGTCAAAACTGTCAGTGTGCAAGGAGAGACCTCACAAACGCGACCACACTCAAGGCGGCGGGCGGTGCAGTGGCATTAGCGGCTAGCGGGCACTGCGCGATGAACCCTGAAACTTGAGTTCGATTCTTGGCCGTGGCTAACAGCGGTGGCGAGTGACCTTTAACCTCGTATTTACCGTCCTGGTGGTGAGGTATGGTCCAATAATCGGCATGACCACGACATGGGGAGGAGGTCCTCATTCAGCAGTGTATGGACAAAGGGCAATGCATTGTTAAATATATATACACATTGTCAATGTGACGTGACTATTAGCAAATGCTATATACGGTAACGGAATTTGCTCAAAGGAATTCAGCAAAGTTTAACACGTAGGATTTCGCGACACAGCCAATTGGTAAGGGATTTGTCACGTAAACAACGCGCCGATTAGTTTACTACTTTCAGCTCCACCGGTGTGTTGGAGAGTACATACACAACATTTACGATTTGAGTAGTACGACGTTTCGCTGGTAATTACATCCAGCATCATTGGGCGATTTACACTTACGCGATCTAACCCAAAAACCCTTCATTATGAATTCGGAAAAGTGCACATTTCACAACAATCAGTACGCGTGCGAGTTTGTGTGTGGGATTGTTTTCATGGAAAGCGGAATTTTAACGGTAAGTGCGCTGCGCTATGAACCCGACTACCCGAGTGTGATGAATACATTGAAACCGCGTTTTGAATAAGTGTTTTATACTCCATTGGAACACTTTTGGCGTCATCTGGTCCAACACCATGTGAGACTAGGCTCTAAAGAAAGCTGTCTCGGGTGTGGACCAATCAACTTCAAGGACAGTGCATACATTATCAGAGTTATATTTTTTGTTTGCATTATGATTGCAGGGGTTGTGGTCTATGCAAACATGACTCCTTGTAAAAAAAGGTGTCAGTTTTGTTGCCAGATAAAAGGGTAAAAAAAACAATTATCATGGTTTATACTCTTTGGTTTTTTCGGTAAAGTCACGTAGGTAAAACAATCAATAAAATAAAATAAATGAAAACAACTACATTTATTTTATTTTATTGATTGTTTTACCTACGTGACTTTACCGAAAAAACCAAAGAGTATGAATCCTTGCAGTCACGAAATCTTCAAATCTAGAGAGAAGTGTTTTGTTCCCTTTACACTGCTGTTGAAAACAAATCACGTGGTGGTTGTCAAGGGGGGCCCCAACTCGTAGCTTTGGCCACGGGGAGAGGTGGCGAGACGTCCCCTGCCCCCAAGCCCGTTACGTCACTGCCCTGGAGTACATTATTAGAATGATTACACTGGTCAACACACTTTTTCTGGCATAAGGTATTCCAACGATTTTAATGTAATTTTGGGGTGCTGATTCTAAATCTGGCATCAGTTTTTGTCTATCGCGTCAGGTTTTTGAGATATGAAATATTGCATTTTTAATAAAAACTGCAGAAGAAAAATATTAAATAAATGCGGATATCTATATAAAATGTATTATAAACACACTATCCTAAAAATACAGCACCATATTTTAACACTAAAGCAGTCACTGACTCGCAACAACTTGCAATCATAAGTGACAGAGTTAATTTCGGGTAAAATCAATGAAAATGGGGTATGCCGATAGCATAAAAATGAGATGTGATAGAGCAAATCTGAGATCAGATTTGGAATCAGCAC